TGTTTCTGAGGAGACTAGCATGTGTGGCCCAACAGCATGTCTTTGCTGAAGGAGCGTTCTCCATGGAGAGGGCCAGATTCCATGTTTACTGCTTTGGGTGGCGCCAGCGTTCAGTAATTCCCATCACTCCTGGTAGATGCCTTGGGAACTTCAGCCTCCTTCTGAATAGAGACTATGAACTGCCAGTTGGCTATATGACCTGTAATTAACTCTATCTCTGCGTTAAACCCACAATTCATTTGTTTTTGTTTGTTTTGAAAAAGAAAATTGAGTTTCCTGAGAAATGAACTCACTTTGATCTTGATGCACAAAGTCAAAGTTCTGTAATGCCTTTCTGCTTAGAATGCACTGATGGACAACAAGTAGATGAAGAATCACAGCTATCGCCAAAGGGCTGGATCTTTGTGACTAATCATCATTAATTACATGCTTGGCCAGGTACGGGTTGCTCCTGGTTATAGAGACAGAGGGTGTGGAAAGAGGATTGGCAATTTGATTAGGAGAAGTTTAAATAGAAACAGCCCTTTTTCACTTAGGGTCAGGGATTAGGGGAATGGAGTGAATTAGCTCCGGGAGAGTGAAGAGAAAGTCAACCACAGCCATTGGCTGGTCAACCGCACCCCTCATGTGCAGAGACCTGGGGGGACGAGCTGTCATCCCACAGCAGAGATGGGGTCCATGGCACCACCCTCAGCCTGTCACCGCCTCAGCCTGGAACAACAGCACGCATCCAAGGTGCAAAGGAAGGTTTCCTTCCGGGGCTTTTTCTGGCCATGGGGAAACTCAAAGGCTGCCTGGAGAAGGTCACAGCTGTAATATTGACCTCCTTTGCAATTTTTCCACCCAGCAGGATAAAAATATCTTTTAAAGAAGAAAGCTTAGAAGAGGGCATTCTCAGAAACCAGCCTTCTTAACAACTCACACTTGTCTATTCTTGGGCCAGCTTGTTTTCAGCCATTGTTATGTTACGTCCAAGTCTCGGTAGAGAAAGCCAGCCAGGGCTCTGCAGAATCAGAAAGCTGGGAAGAGAGTCTGGGGCTCCACAGGCAGGAGCTTGAAGGCAGAAAGGGCCCCAGGCACTTGGCGCCTGCTCCCGGCAGACCCGATTAGTCACCAGGAGGAGTTTTCCTCTACCTGACAGAGGCAGCGGAGTGGGCTAAGGAAAGGAGACGTGCGTCTCCTGTCTTTTGGTAGCTTGAGTGGCTGTAACTTTCTGTTTGCACCCCAGATTCTATTATGAGGGGTGGGGGCTCAGTAGGAGAACCCCAGAAAGCACAGCTGGACAGAGGGAGACAGTCTCTGGGGAGAGGCAGCCGGGTCATGAGTTGCCTGAGGGATTCTCTGGGTTTTCTCGCACTGGGGCCATTTCAGCCTGTTGATATAAAATTTATAAGCTAAAAAAATTAAAAAGAACTAGAGGATATTTCCAGAAACAAGATCTCTGTAATGGCCCAGAACACAAATAGAAACAGTGTATTATTCTTCCAGGAGCTGCTCGCCATAGTTGCCAGGAATTCATGATTGGATGCCTTTGGGGCTGAACCCCTGAGGACTCCAGAGAACACACATTGCCCCCCAAAAATCTACCTACCCGCACACATTTTCCACCCTCTCTGCAGGATGCCTCAAGGGAGAAAGTAAATGAAATCCAGAACGAATCACTTGGCCCCTGAGGCAGGGGGGTAACTGCTCACTGCTGAAGCTAAGTGTTTCTTCTCCCCAAAGTATTGCTTCTGAGGGACTGGTTCCCTGCTGTAGACCCTCTGGGCGTGGGCAGAGAGGCCAGGGAAAGGTTAGGTGATGCAACTGGAGCTTCTATTTAAATGAGGAAAGTGGCAGTACTGAAAATAGAAGAGGTTCTTGCAGAAAATTGTGGAGTCAGGCTGGGCTCGGTGGCTCATACGTGTAATCCCAGCACTTTGGGAGGCTGAGGCAGGTGGATCACATGAGGTCAGGAGTTCAAGACCAGCCTGGCCAACACAGTGAAACCCCGTGTCTACTGAAAATATAAAAATTAGCTGGGCGTGGTGGAGCACGCCTGTAGTCCCAGCTACTCAGAGGCACAAGAATCGCTTGAATCCGGAAGGCGGAGGTTGCAGTGAGCCAAAATTGTGCCACTGCCCTCCAGGCTGGGAGACAGAGCAAGACCCTGTCACAAA